CCTTCTTTTGTCCCACTGCTAATTTTTTGATTTAATGCGGTTTCGAATTTTATGAAAGCCTATCTCATCTGCGATTTCCGTTGTTTTCTTTATGAACCATGCCTGGGACCTCGTTTCCGCATGGTGCGGAATTCTTTTGGGTAGCGTTCGGTCATTCAACCGCATGCTTATTTCTTTGGGGGAGTGTTGTGGACACTGTACGTCCCCTCCGCCGAAGTTGGCGCCGGCTTGAGCTGATACTCATTTCTAAGACGTCTGCGCGGCAGAACTTAAAAACACACGTTTGAAGTTCCGGGTTTCTGAGCCGGTGGCAGAGGTGATCGTCGGACATGAGCGTGATTTTTGGGGAAGCCTTTTGAATGCTGACAGCCCGATTCAGAGCCTGCTGTTGGGGAGTTTGTGGGAAAATTGTGAGTGAAGGCCTAAGAGTCCTCATGTTTTGCTTTTCGTGTATTGTGCATAAATTAGCATTAGGCTTTGTATTAACATCAGTACGGATTATTTGCCTATCTGCTTTAGACGCTGATGGGTGCAGCGTGTGATGGGATGGCTGGGCGTTTACTACATGAACCGAACTTACTTTGGTAGGTTATACGCACAGGTTGTACTGGAGTTGCACAAGCAAATAAAGGTTTTAAAACCTTGAAACAGATCAAAAAGTAAAAGCATTCGTTCACAAATTTTCACGGACAAAAACATATTTCAAGCGTACAACGCGTCAACCCCTGTAATTCTCTACTAGGAGCCACTTGGAGGTTGAAATTTTTATAAACTCAACTGGTCCACTTGTCAAATAGTACGGTTGCGTCGAAAGTGAGTTGGGGAGCCCTTGGTTTGAAAGAGATTATTATGGGGTGAGCCGCATGGTAAAACCTCTACAAATCCAGCTGAAAACCGTAACATTTCGCACCTCTTATTCTTTTATTACTTTCAAAATGAAACACACACATATGTTGCGGGAAAGTCTCTTTAAACTTCTGTTTCACAAGCGCTGATAAGTTAGTCCATGAGGGTTGATGACTTGACAGCTGCCACCTAACGACAGTTGCTGCGCAATTCAAGTCTGAGGATTTACTGTTTATGAGCATGCAGTTGGTCATTTTTCGTCGCAATCATTTTCAAAATTTATGTTACCGCCGTCACCGTCCGAGAATCAGGGCTCGGGTGAATAATCCAGTACGTATTCCAAGCGATACAAATAAGGAATTTGGTAACAGTTTCTGTATTTCGTATAAGATCTCATTTGGTGCGTTACCTTTGTTGAAAGTAAGTTTTATACCTACCTAACAGCTGATCTTTAGCTGTTGGAATGGCAGCATTTCCTCAGCATTTGTTGACGAAATCTGTGAAGTTGAATCTCCTTATCCTTTGCGGGCAACTTTGAGGGGTGTTGAAGAATTGAAAATCCATCGACGTAAATCGTAATGGCAGCATAATACAACGTGAAATTCTCGTGATGCAATGGCGCCCACAGCGGTGAATTTTGGCGCGAATGCCCTTGATTTGGCAGGTTGATGTAGATAAGAGCCACTACACGGGTTCTGAAACCTCCAGGAGCATCCTGTGGCACATCTGTTTGTCAGCCAGTGTCAATGTTAGAGCGCACATATATAATGAACCTTCTACACGATGATTAGACAAGTTTGTTCTTGACATCCAAGTAGAACGGCGGCTGCCGAGAACGGGCTTACGAACGACAGGCAAAATTTATGGGGCCAGTAACCCACAGTGTGCAATCTAGGTGTTCCGGCATTCAGTAAAGTCATCGTATGCATATGAAATGCATAAGGCCCGCTTCTGCCACCGTTGGGGATGTAGGTATTCATTCTCACGTACAACGCTGTTTGTGATGGTTGGCAGCATGCGCGTCGTCCCTGGTGATGGCGCACCCGGAAAACGGGTTTCAAGTCCTCCGCATCAAAACCTCAGATGAATTCAGGTAACTAAAGCCACTCTGTGATATGCGGGCTCACGTTAACCTGCACGGTGCTTGGGTGTTTTTTATGATGAGCACACCGCATACATTTTGCAAGCGCCCTCGCTGCCAGCCATGTCGCCAGGTGCATAACTTTTTCACCCGGTGCGTTCAGAAGGTTGTATCCCGGACATTGTAGCACCCCGAATTTTCGTTCATCACTGACGGTTATCAAAGCGCCAAAGAGGAGAGAGAATGCTGGAGCAGAATGATGCTACATGTGGTTAGAAATTTTCACCGCAGTTCACTAGAGTGAATTATGGTGGAAGTCCGCTTATCCTTTTATAGTCTAAGGGGGCCTCAGGGCACAAGTCGACAGAATATTTGGAATCCGTTGGCGATTCATTAAAAGTACTTTTTGGATGATCAATTTTACTGTTTTGGGGTCAGTGGAGAATGATATCTCGTCCACCTCACGGTCCCTACTGCATATACACCCGGAACACACGGACTAATACATTACTAGATCGGAAGATTTTGGTGGGACCCTAATTGCAAAAGAGTGGAGCCTTTTTTGGTTGTCATTAAATTTGAACTGAACTCAACCGAGCTGGCCGCCTCAAATCCGTGATTCTGACACGAATTATGTGCTTATGAACGAAAGTTCTTCATTTTTCCCTTAATAGCTGCCACCTGTCCTGTAATCCAGCCGTTCCGGGCGCAAGTCCACTACAGTAACCGTCAAGCTCGTCCTTTGTTTTTTGGATGGAAGCTGTTCCTTTGGCGCATATACACTTTCTTGAAATAGCACCATTAGGCGGCAGGCGTCGTGGGGGTCACGCTTCTTTCTGTGTCACCTTCATTTTGACCGGCTGAAGTCCCAAAGGCGAGAACGATCAGAAGCAAGTGCCGGGCCGAATTGAGGTTTAGTATTAACACTATTGGATGCGGTAGAAAAATTTCCTGAGGTAATTGGTGAAAATCTACATGGTGCGTTACTTTCTAGTGCAGTTTGTTGCAGAAACTTCTTATGTGCTGCAGTCTCTGCGTAGCCTGCTATAGACAAATGTCGTCAAACAGCTTGGTTGTGAATAACAATATTTTACTAACCGATGTGGATTAGTGGTTGTAATTGCGGTAATTAAAAAGTGGGTATTCTGAATAACGAATTTCAGTCTCCGTCAGGAAGTGGCATGTAAACAGTCTATTGGATGGCGCGCCTAAGGCACATACGTAGGAATAGTTCGGCGACCAATAATGCACAGTTCCAATGCATTTTATCATGCGGTTTAGTTTTTCTGGAAATGATAACCCATGGTTTTACACGTTCTGTTCCATAAGTTGCTGCCCTCACTCTGGATCGGTGCATAGCTCGCGGCGAAACGGATCCCCGATAGTACCTTGTGTTCTGCCAGCGAGGCTTGTCCACTCTTTATTCCTGTACCATCAGATGGATTAACCCTTTATTGCAAGGTTTGGTGTGATAAAAACGGTACCGTATCATTCACCTGAATGCGATGTAGACGGGAAATCATTTTTCGTCGTTTATAGTACACAGTGCCTGGCATTTTGATGAATTTACATGCAGGTGGTGGTGATGAATAACCCAGCCTTTTTAGCTTTGTTGGTGAGTTTCCTTCCTGCGTTTCGTCTATGGAGATTGCTATGAATCCCTACCTTCCAACGCTCGCTGCCCCCAGGTTCCTCCATGAACTGAATGCTGCCCGGAAACATGACCAATTTGTTAAGTGGAACGAAAGGACCCACAAGATGTCCAATATTGATAACCCAATTAACCTCAGGCAGGCTATGTGAACTGAGGCTAAGCATTATGGAGGCCTCTTCGATTTAGCATGCACTGCTAATTAAGTGGGCCAGTATATGGGCTAAACTTGATTACGCGGGGAATTTCCAACACACTGACGACCACGATTGTCACCATTTTAGTGTGAACAGGCGTGCAACCACATTATTAGATCATGAACACACAACGGACAGATGGCACAAGCGCTTCACCGGGCATCTTTTCGTACTCTCGATCAGCTATGCCGGCTGCCGTAACGTGTGCGTGTTCCCCACTGGAATTCTCCCATTTTCGACCCAAATTCCCTGAAGGAATGACACCCAAGACTGAGGAAGCACTCTGACGTCCGCCTTGTTCGTCTACCTATTCGTCATGTGCACCTAAAGGCTTACTTTGAAAGATTCTCGAGTGCGATGCACTTGATATCGGCACAATAGACGCTATCATTGCCATGGTTGATGATTCATCAATCGCTTTCACGGATTCACGGATTCACGGATTGATACACAGGATCGAGGCTTTTGCCCAAGTTTCCCGGGTCGGTTTTGTTCTTGTCGGTCAGTGGCTGTCGTTCACCTGAAAGGCACAAGTGAAAAAAGGGTGTAGCACTGCTCTTTATGTTCTCAGCGCGGGGCAGTATCCTCGCCAGCGCGAAAATTCGCATAAACAAATGTCTAATAGTGCTTTAAATTGGGTTCGAGAAGGAGCGTGCACAACCGTCGGAGGAAGGTCATTCCACGCAGCTACTACCCGAAATGAAAAAAAGTTTTGTCTAACGGATGTGTGTGCCCTGAGCTTGAAGATTTTCTTACTATGTCCCCGCCGGGTGTTTGCTGGGTAAACGGTAAAAAACCTGTTTGCCAAGCTTTGTTCAAACAGGGCGTAGGTAAGAATTAGGTCCCCTCGGAGGCGACGGCACTCCAGGGGAAAGAGATCAAGCGTCACGAGCAGGAGGTGAGTGAAATGGTAGTTGGAGGAGAGTTGCCCGAGGGTTTGTGTGAGGAATTGGTCATCTTCATGGGGACTCGAAGGGCTACGGTAGACCACACCGAGAAGGAGAGAATCGGACCCGCGCAGCGGGATTTGGCCCACAGTGCATCGCAGAAGGGTGCAGGGGTGGTGTCAGCGAGGACAATCGGGATTGGTAGGGCCGCATGTAAGTACAGAGCAACCCCACCAGCCCTCCCTCGTTTTGAGTCAGCTCGAAAAATAAAGTAACCGTCTATCGAGATCTCCGCGTCAGAGACATCTGGTGTGAGCCAGGTCTCTGTGAGTGCGATTATGGACGGTTTTTCAAGGCAAGCTGACTGTTTAACATCGCCGAGTTTGTTGAAAAGGCTGAGGCAGTTTGTGTACAAGCATTTCAACACTGCTTCTGCTTCCTCCGAGGGTGAGAAGCAGTGCTTCTCAGAGACTAGGACCGCAAGAGACACTAGCGATTAGTGAAAAATTGCAGCTTCTCGATGGCATTTATGCCATCCTGAAATGGCCTTGAAATACTGGCAGCCCGGTCCAGATTGCAGGTGGCTTACTCTGCCGTGGGAGAGGAAATCTATGGGCTTGCAGAGTCAACAGCACGGCCCGAACGCCGACCGACCAATCAGGGTTGAGTGTGTGTTTTGGCGCATCTCCACGTGCTACAGGCTTTCTGGCGTGACTTACATTTACGCGGTCACTTGCTGACTACGGCTGTTGTATACTTGCTTTCCCCAATTCGAGGCTAGTTCAAGGGTGACATCGCTCCCAGTCCATACGCTGCGTGATCACGACGGCCCAGATCTCGCTCCGGGGCCCCGTGTGTCCAGAGCGAGATCTGGGCCGCTTCGGGTTTTTCGTCGTAAAAGTTCTGTCGGATTCTGAAACGTACCACTGTTAACCAAGTGAACATTGCCGGGGTTGCGTAGACAACTGCAGCTGGTTAGCAGATTGACGGCCATATTACGGGTGATTTGGAATGAATGGTGCATGCGAACGGAATGAGGCGTTTTGACCATCGCAGTATTCAAAGGAGGTATATTGACGTCACATGAAAGTCATCGTGGCATCGGCCTAGTAGGCGTAGCATCTAAGGTGCCCCCCTTGTATTATTTTGCGCTGGTTGGTTGATTATCGGGAGAGACATTTGGGAGAATCTAGCTGGCTATCTCCCTGGCCGAGGATTCGTCGACCATATCTTTACCTTGAGACAAGTTCCTGAGCAACACCACTCCGTAAGACGTCTCACGTTGATCGTTTTCCTTAATCTTAAGGCTGCTTCCGAGTAGTTCGTCAGAAACTGTCCGTTACCAATGTATATCCCTTATGAGGGCTCTGTATTTGATTTCCTGTGGGCGTTCACGAGCGTCTGACAAGCTTCCTCCTGTGTCCACTACGTGGATAAGATAAGAATACCCTCTCTCACCATATCTTTCCAAATGTGAAACCTTTGTCTGCTTCTGAAACCTCGGAGTCGAGGCTCCCTCTCAAATATGAGTATGCGGACAATACTGCAGATCAGTCCTAAATGCAAATCTTTTTAAGTAACCTAACTAATTCTGCCACATGGTCTAGGATGCTCAAACCTGCATTGGAAGGTGATTGGGTCGGACCTAACCCAAAACTCATTTTCGCGGATCAGATTGTAGATAACTGTGGGCCTCTGCGCCCTGGTAACGAGTTGTGAGAACAATAATCAATAGACTCATTCGGGTTGACCATTACCGTCTCCGTGATCGGGGACTCCTTTCTTCACATTAATTACCCTAGAAAACGACAGGAACGTAGTCTGGCGCTTGTGTATTAAAGCTATCGCCTGCGATACATCGCTGCTCCATTGCCCGACCTAGGTGCTCATACCGTAGTTTACTATATCTCCCCCGCTTTCCCATTTTTCGGCGGCCGGAACTGTAGTGGCTAAATTCACCGCATTCTCGGTACATAGTATTTTGAACTGAACTCAACTGATAGACAGACTGAGGAAGAAGCTGGATGAACTGGCGAACGTAATGAGGCCTTACTACACTTATATTTATTCCGTTCTTCTATGTTGTCTGGTATTGGAAACGACAGACTCGGAAATTAAAATAACAGATTATTAGGCGTGTCGGACGGACAGCAGAATTCACCCTCATCTATCTATTTTTCTGCACATGAAGATAGGATGGAAATGTACAGGTGTAGCGAAACTCGACGGGACAGTGATTTGCGGGGCTTCCAAACAATAGTGACTGGAGCACCAACTCCCTTTCCTTATGTCGAATTCAAATTGAATAAGCCTCATGGTCTGTTTCGAGGAAAGTTGATTTTATAGTCTTGGAACACTTCAGGTTGCCGGAACTCGATCGAAACATCTAAGAAGCCTCTGCTGTCGAAATATAATTCATGGGACTGGTCCTGAAGCTCCAGACACTGCAGCTGATTGAAAGGAACACCAACTTCAGACCATCAATCTAATTATCGCATATGGACCTGGTATTTATTAACCGCGTGAAACAGTTAACTCTTTGAAGACGATGCCGTCGGTGAGTTAAGTGATCACAACGTCATATGAGCCGTCATCCTATCAGGACGAAGGCACATACCGAATGCATGGAAAGTAGACCAAGCTGCGCTGGAGAAAGGTAATCGTACTATACAGTACATCATAGTGAAATGACAACAGCACAACACTATTACTTCGACAACAGGAGCGAGATGGCTCAAGTGGTTAGAGCGCGAGTTCGCTGACCGGAAGGTTCCTTATTCGAACGCGACCTCTGACACTCGACCTCCCCTGTCTAGGCTGGGGCGACTTGACAGCAGCCCGGCCCTCGTGCTTCTTTCGGGTTGCATGGCTGCTAGGTACCGGAAGAGCGCTAAAGTTGAACAATAATCCTGGGATAATCCTGGGGTATGACCATGATTTATTTGNGGAAGAGCGCAAAGTTGAACAATAATCCTGGGATAATCCTGGGGTATGACCATGATTTATTTGAAAACCTTATTTTGAAGAGATTCGAATAGGATACATAAGGGACTTAATGCTAGCCTACCATAAGCATCCTGAGGTGCCTACGCCTTCAGACAAATGCAGACACTCTGGATGGAAATTGAAAACAAGAGTGCCATTGATCGGCAGCCATATCACGCAGCGTGTAACCGCAGACAAGGGAGATCACGCGAACCGCATCACGGAAGGCGCGTGGCCCGACAGTACCCATATTTTTCATATTCTCTTCTATACCCCCTCCTGGTCAAAGGTTGACCTTTTCTCGTTTTTCTCCTGCTGGTCGAATCAAATTGCCTTTTGAAGTTTGAAGAGCTAGTGAGGTGCTTTTGGTTTGTAGGGTTCCTTCCAAACAACATCATATGTTTCTCTTATAATGCTTCTATACACACCCGCCTCTCCATTCACTTCCATTTTGTGTCCCATATCCAAGATCTCCATGTATCTGTCAGAAACGTGGTAATGGCTGGTATATCTATGAACTAGACGGCGGGCAAGTTAAGACATGAGGTCGGACACAGATTTCGCACGCATCAACGGCTAGACTTCAATATTCAAATCCGTTTGTAACACCGCTGGGTAACTCTCATGTGGCCAAGCATACAAAGTATCAACCAACACTAGGTTACTGGTGAGACCGACCGCCACCTATTCACCTGGACCCTCATCCTAGCTGTCTGCATAACGCGGACGAAATCAATCAATATCAAACCTTGTACTGAAGCACCTGGAGATTTATCGAAAAGTTCCCCACACATATTGAAGCTGCGAGGTCTTTGCAAGGAACACCGTTACATGACCGAATTTTTACTAATCATAATGCTATCATAGCTTACTTTTTTCGTGGACCGTTGGGTACTACTGAAAAATCAAACGTCTTTGGCCAGTAGGTCCATCTCTCGTATCTTTGTGCCTAACCATGTCACCCTAGCTTGAATTAAGTATACTGATTGTCTTAAGTACGTCGACCAATACGCACCAAGCGCTTTTAAAATGGATCATTTTGCTTTGGTCGATGGGTATCTCTTATTGAGGGGTTGAGCCGCACTGAGGGGCTGTAATAAAATCCGAACTTGAGTCCAGTACTTCTCGATGGGTATGGACTTACGGGAGGAACCACGCAAACTGTACTGCGCCACATGCCTTTGACCTACTGTATGATGTTTTCTTTCAGTCTGTTGGGCAACGTCCTTCCCCCGAAGCACCGATCGACACAACTAACTCCGTAAACCACCCACGAATGCCGAATATTAAAATATTTTCTGGTAGTTCCAACCATGCCCTTGGCCAGAAGATTGCTGATCGGATTGGGGTACGTTTGGGCAAGGTGACCTCGCGCAAGTTCAGTAACCAAGAGACATGGTATGTTGAAAATAACATTTTTGGTTCATGACCTATTGGAAATCAACGTTCGCTCCGCAGCAGTTCATCCTCTCTTCTTAACTTTTCTGTACAGCGTCGAGGTTGGTGAGTCAGTGAGAGGCGAGGATGTGTTTATTGTGCAAACGGGTGGAGGTGAGGTCAACGACAATCTTATGGAACTGCTTATCATGATCAACGCATGCAAAATCGCTTCCAGTTGTCGTGTGACCGCCGTGATTCCCTGCTTCCCGTACGCAAGACAGGACAAGAAAGTATGTGGCTGCTGCTCCTTGCCCTTTTCCATATGGTACAAACGTTATCCATCGACTTTACCACTGAAGTTCATACAACCTCACACAAGCCCGACCACAACGTCAGGTTTTTGGCTCTCGTTTGCTAGAAGTCTTAGATACATCATTCGGATCTGGCTATTGGTACCGCTTTTTATGGTCCTATTGGGTCATTTGACCTTAGTGTTCTTATCATTCTCTGTATGCATTTGCTAGCCATCAGCCAAACGTCAAGGCAGGTTTCGCATTCGTTATGTAGGTCTGGCTCTTCATGTCCTGGAAGCTGTTTCATGGGCAGACCACTGTGAATGTTTGCTCAAGGGTGATTACGGAGATAATTTTTGCCTTTGCGCACAGTCTGTATGTTTTGTTTCTGCGACAGCGTGGTTCGGATTTATCCGTGATGGTCCTACCTTTTTGGCACTTCTCAGTAAACGTGATATTAGTTAATAATGGTTCAGCTGTAACACCCTCTCGGTGCCTAGCTGCCATGCCACCTAAAGGAAGCATGAGGGTTAGGATACTGCCAGGTTACCCAAGTCTAGACGACAGAGGTCGAGATGCTGAAGTCGGATTCGAACCACCGACCTTCCGGTCAGTAAATTCGCGCTCTAACCACTGAGCCATATTACCCACCTCATTAAATATGTTGTGCCTTAACTTAGTGAGAATCACCTACATGAACAGTTCCGAGAGTATAATTCTTGTGTGGATGGACCTTGTGAGTAAGCATGTTCTGTTCGCTGGGGTGAGCAGTTCGATTGCAAACGTTCCACCACCAATCAATAGGACATCATTAGTGCGTTGTTAGGCTGTATAGTGGAGCGTAGTGATGGGTCGGTGGTTGTGCACGACTACTTATGAAACGGTTGCAATCAAACTTCCAAGCTCATCTAACCAACAAATCACCGTCTATGCTGCCTGGGTTATCAACATTCTCCATAGAATATTCCGTTCAGCTCGAGCATCTTGGGTACGCTTGAGCTGAAAAGGCCATAATCCATCTGAAAGTTTAGTTTTTGCTTTATCTAAACTGGCGTACATATACTATAGGACCAATGTAAAACTCGAGATCCCGCGTGCAAACACGATTAGTAGTGTGTTTTCTGTGTATCCAGAGATGATCAGCTTGTTACCGTTCTGTTTTTAGGTGCTATTTGCAATAAACACTCAGTTCTTGCACCAGAATCGCCGGAATCCTGGACAATACATTCTAAACGAACAGCCCCCCTAAGTTTCGCTTACTAAAGATACATCGAAAGTAATCTTTATCAACGTGACTTGTCTGATTCCACTCGTTGAAGTCTCACCCGTCACTCTTTCATGCACCAGACTTTTTCGGTGATCTATTCGAGGTTTCAAATGTCCCTCATTTGAGCTGTCTCGGAGGTTTAGGAGATCCACATCTAAGGTGCCAGTTGTTTGTAAACTGAGCTTTTCTGAGAAGTTTTTCTGATGTCCGCTGACATCAGATAACACGGGCTCCTTATAAATATGTCTGTCGCTCGAACAGAAATCTTCGAGCCCTATGTATTGTCACTCGGTGTCGTGTAGCGTTTGTCCCCACCATGTCTCCGTGATGTGACTTACAGCAGATTTTTCCGCGCCACACATCGACACATCTGTCAATGGAGGACGTATGGTCCAGAAAACCGGTGTAAAGTTAACAAATTTGGTTCGCTGGTTGAGTAACTAAGTTCTCAAAGCTTATAAGGTGATCATCCCCTCGGAAGGCGTGGTTGAATCCATTAGACTTTTCTATTGTCCTCACCTAAGTTGAGACAGCCCAATGATACCTCGTCTCATGTGCTACCGTCCGACTACACAATAGGTGTGGGATCAGTGGTTAAGTTGCCAACTTACGAACTGGGAGGTCCGTGGTTCGAATCCAACCTCAGTATCTCAACTGATGCTGTCTAGGCTCGGGCAACGTAACGCTATTCCAGCCCTCGTGCCTCCTTCCGTTGGCATGACAGCTAGGTGCCGAAATGAACTTACGAAGAGGTCCGTGGTTCGAATCCAACCTCAGTATCTCAACTGATGCTGTCTAGGCTCGGGCAACGTAACGCTATTCCAGCCCTCCCTCCTCCTTCCGTTGGCATGACAGCTAGGTGCCGAAATGGTGCTACAGCTGAACGATCCATATTATATGAGCCAAAAATGGATACCACAACTCAACACTTCAACTTTCACTGAAATATATCTCACCGGTGTGATTGTTAATTTCCTTACTAGTCATTAGTCTTCAGCTGACGGGTAGTGTTTCAAATCCTACCGGGAAGATTGGAGGTACCCATATAATTCAGTTACCCAGAGACGAAACAGCCCTTTCAGTAAAGCTCAGGATGCATTCTCCCTTATAATGAGCTTTGACCCATGAAATCTGTCGTTTATGGAGAGCATGTCGCTCTTTTCATCTTCGCGTGTACATAGAACCGCCTTTGATGAGGACCTCTAAGCAGAAATGGTCACTTGTGAATATGATTCCTTGAACTCCAATTTTTTCGCATTTTTTGCAGAATACACTATGCACGAGAGGATACTCAACTAGAGATGTTTTTTTACGTGTTACATAGCATAGATGACATTCCTTCTCCAAGTTCTCTAGACATGACCGGTATGGTCTGGGTTACCAGCGGCTTTCGTCCCCTTCTGCTATATGCGACCCTTTCAACACACAAATGAGAGCTATTTCCCACTTTAACTAAGAAAGTTCCCCCTTCGCCGATATGCTGTCTGCATATCATGAACGTATTTTTGGAGATGCAAAGGGTTAAACGTCCACTCATGAATAGGGTGTTCTCACTGTAGCCCTCTCTTGCAATCAAAGTCCACTCAGTATGACTCCTCATGTGGTTGCGTGACGAATCAATACAACATCAATACAGTACCGAGCCGGGTCGGCCTTTTTGTCTTTTGTGACAGTCTATGTTTTATCCCTACATTTTGGCGTGAGCTCAGCATAAACCACTCAGTAAAATTCCAAATCTCCATCTGGTATCGTGGTCGTACCGTACCACCTACTTGAGTTTGATCGTTCTAGCTTTTATTGTTTGTGTATCTCATACGTGTGAACTCTTCTTCCGTTTTCTATGGGATCTTTCAATTCGTATTCATTGCACACAGGATAAATCCCGGGCACCGATTTCAGCCAAACTTGTTGCGAATATGCTCTCAGTCGCTGGTGCTGACCACATCATCACCATGGATTTGCATGCAAGCCAGATTCAAGGGTTCTTTGACATACCTGTGGATAATTTGTATGCAGAACCCGCTGTGATCAAGTGGATCAAGAGCAACATTCAAGAATGGAAGGACTGTGTGATTGTCAGCCCCGATGCTGGTGGCGCCAAACGGTCAGACATCAGTGATTTTTTTTATGTACCTGGTAGCTAGTCTCCGGTTTTAGTGACGTATTTTAACCGTTTTCAGTCTACACAGCCTAAGTAAGTTACTTGTTGCCCGCACATTTAGTGGCCTACATAGGAGGGTGATCATAAGGCAAATAATCAAGCCGATCATTCATTGAACACAATTGTGCAATTAAATAAATCTTGGAAACTGGGGTCTAGAAAAAAAAACTTATGCAATAAAATGATAGGGTAACACCACCTCTTGTGAAATAGGTACCCATTTATCAATTATGACACTAGAAATGAAAGGTCCCTCTTCAGCTGAAGGATTCTTGGGTTACACACTACCGCTTATCTACAACAGTGATGAAATAACCATGTGTTGCTTCGGGGCTTTCGACACACTGTCTCCGTTTGCAAAGCAAAGTTCAATCAGAACTCAAAATGTCATTACCTAAAGCACGACTTCTTTGTCTATAGATCTGTGGTTCATTATGTTAGCGTCCGTGACCATAATTAGATTTGACAGACAAGTAGGTCGGCGTGAATCCTTCGCCATATAAGAATATCCCGCCAAATTTTGCTTATACGATGACTTAGTTTCTATCACGGCCTTTCAGAGTGGCACATTCAGAATTTTCACGAACTATTCCCTTGTTATCAGACCGTATTTCGGTACATGGAGCAGCGTGCTACTATGCAGCTAGATTTTTGTCAGTATCTGTGGCGAGTTCCTAAACCGAGTCGAGCAACTTTTCGAATTTCGGCACACTGTGTGTAGCACAGCAATGACGATTTAAGCTCACACTTTAGCAGATATGTTCCAGTTTGGTTAGTCCGGCCATGTATGCTCAGGTTATCACTTTGACGAACTTATCTTTCTCCCATCTGAAGAGAACATACCACCAGTAATCGATGTGCCTTCATTCTGTCACTTACGCGCCATCATCAATTTCACAATCAGCCATTGTTTTTATTCTGAGGATTGAGACTGCACTAACTAGCACCTAAAATAAAGTTGGTCGTGATGGTTACGCATTCGACGGTAAACGGTGGTGCTACAGCTGAACGATCCATATTATATGAGCCAAAAATGGATACCACAACTCAACACTTCAACTTTCACTGAAATATATCTCACCGGTGTGATTGTTAATTTCCTTACTAGTCATTAGTCTTCAGCTGACGGGTAGTGTTTCAAATCCTACCGGGAAGATTGGAGGTACCCATATAATTCAGTTACCCAGAGACGAAACAGCCCTTTCAGTAAAGCTCAGGATGCATTCTCCCTTATAATGAGCTTTGACCCATGAAATCTGTCGTTTATGGAGAGCATGTCGCTCTTTTCATCTTCGCGTGTACATAGAACCGCCTTTGATGAGGACCTCTAAGCAGAAATGGTCACTTGTGAATATGATTCCTTGAACTCCAATTTTTTCGCATTTTTTGCAGAATACACTATGCACGAGAGGATACTCAACTAGAGATGTTTTTTTACGTGTTACATAGCATAGATGACATTCCTTCTCCAAGTTCTCTAGACATGACCGGTATGGTCTGGGTTACCAGCGGCTTTCGTCCCCTTCTGCTATATGCGACCCTTTCAACACACAAATGAGAGCTATTTCCCACTTTAACTAAGAAAGTTCCCCCTTCGCCGATATGCTGTCTGCATATCATGAACGTATTTTTGGAGATGCAAAGGGTTAAACGTCCACTCATGAATAGGGTGTTCTCACTGTAGCCCTCTCTTGCAATCAAAGTCCACTCAGTATGACTCCTCATGTGGTTGCGTGACGAATCAATACAACATCAATACAGTACCGAGCCGGGTCGGCCTTTTTGTCTTTTGTGACAGTCTATGTTTTATCCCTACATTTTGGCGTGAGCTCAGCATAAACCACTCAGTAAAATTCCAAATCTCCATCTGGTATCGTGGTCGTACCGTACCACCTACTTGAGTTTGATCGTTCTAGCTTTTATTGTTTGTGTATCTCATACGTGTGAACTCTTCTTCCGTTTTCTATGGGATCTTTCAATTCGTATTCATTGCACACAGGATAAATCCCGGGCACCGATTTCAGCCAAACTTGTTGCGAATATGCTCTCAGTCGCTGGTGCTGACCACATCATCACCATGGATTTGCATGCAAGCCAGATTCAAGGGTTCTTTGACATACCTGTGGATAATTTGTATGCAGAACCCGCTGTGATCAAGTGGATCAAGAGCAACATTCAAGAATGGAAGGACTGTGTGATTGTCAGCCCCGATGCTGGTGGCGCCAAACGGTCAGACATCAGTGATTTTTTTTATGTACCTGGTAGCTAGTCTCCGGTTTTAGTGACGTATTTTAACCGTTTTCAGTCTACACAGCCTAAGTAAGTTACTTGTTGCCCGCACATTTAGTGGCCTACATAGGAGGGTGATCATAAGGCAAATAATCAAGCCGATCATTCATTGAACACAATTGTGCAATTAAATAAATCTTGGAAACTGGGGTCTAGAAAAAAAAACTTATGCAATAAAATGATAGGGTAACACCACCTCTTGTGAAATAGGTACCCATTTATCAATTATGACACTAGAAATGAAAGGTCCCTCTTCAGCTGAAGGATTCTTGGGTTACACACTACCGCTTATCTACAACAGTGATGAAATAACCATGTGTTGCTTCGGGGCTTTCGACACACTGTCTCCGTTTGCAAAGCAAAGTTCAATCAGAACTCAAAATGTCATTACCTAAAGCACGACTTCTTTGTCTATAGATCTGTGGTTCATTATGTTAGCGTCCGTGACCATAATTAGATTTGACAGACAAGTAGGTCGGCGTGAATCCTTCGCCATATAAGAATATCCCGCCAAATTTTGCTTATACGATGACTTAGTTTCTATCACGGCCTTTCAGAGTGGCACATTCAGAATTTTCACGAACTATTCCCTTGTTATCAGACCGTATTTCGGTACATGGAGCAGCGTGCTACTATGCAGCTAGATTTTTGTCAGTATCTGTGGCGAGTTCCTAAACCGAGTCGAGCAACTTTTCGAATTTCGGCACACTGTGTGTAGCACAGCAATGACGATTTAAGCTCACACTTTAGCAGATATGTTCCAGTTTGGTTAGTCCGGCCATGTATGCTCAGGTTATCACTTTGACGAACTTATCTTTCTCCCATCTGAAGAGAACATACCACCAGTAATCGATGTGCCTTCATTCTGTCACTTACGCGCCATCATCAATTTCACAATCAGCCATTGTTTTTATTCTGAGGATTGAGACTGCACTAACTAGCACCTAAAATAAAGTTGGTCGTGATGGTTACGCATTCGACGGTAAACGGTTGTTGTCATATTGGATACCTGTGTGTAAGAAAACGGAGGTGCCACTGATGCCGATTCAAACTAAAGAAAACATTGCTGGGTTCACAGTGACCAGCACGCGAGCGTAAAATAGCAATCCGAATCGGTGATGACAAGTGAAATTCCTTTCAACCTATGTTCGCTTATTTTGTTTAAGAGTCTCGCATACTGTCAGTGGGTAGTGAACAAAGACCCACAGTGTGTTTGAGGGCATTATTTCGTAATTATTAGCGAACATTCAACCCAGCGTCTCTACCACGCCATCATTAGTTTACACCGACGCCGCATACTCAGGTTACTCTATCGCCATGAACATAGTATGCTACATCTAGTTTACCAGAATAACAACTCAGCTAGTACACTGAATGTGTGCCAAACGCCTTGTGCTTTCTGTTATTGCCTACCGACCGAATCACGGCCAATGAGACTATTCTGTGCTGACAACAACAAAGCATTTGACCTGTTTACTGTATTTGACTGTCTGCAGTAAGTAGTTCCTTCAGACTCGACCTCACTCAAGTAACGCTATAAAATGTATACTACGGGCGTAGGGAATACCATCAGAAACATCTTGGACAGATGATCAAAACAACTGCCTGATCAATAAGTGTAACTTTGTTCACTGGTCATCATCTAATCGTATCAAGCAAGTGTGCTCCGGATTGAACTTTCTATGACCTGTCCATGTTTTGGATATTTTTAGAGCCTTGTCGATTTCACGTTGTGACCGGTATTTTCTACTTAGTAGTCTCCAGATATATTACTGCACATATAGCCTATATCCAGACTTTGAATGAACCTTTTACTGGGAAACCACAACTTGGCAAGACTGTGTGATCGTGTTTCCCAAACGGTTTTTTGGGGTCCAACGACTAAGGAACCCATTTAAGTCCCTGGTTTAATAAAAGCTGTGTTCCTCTTCAAATTACCCTCTTCGTTCTGACACATCTCGAAACGCGAGAGTACCGAATATTGGCATGTGTTTTGCGTACCAGATGCTTTGTGCATTCGGGTACTGTTTACAGACGAAGAACCGTTACTCTCTCGACCTACATACCTACTCTGTGGTGACAATAACAAAATAGTCGACTTGTCTGTTGCTTGTTTTCATGTCGAAGTCGAAGTTTATAGAATTTGTAGGTTCTTTGTTCAGTTGTCACGTCTCGATCACAAAGGACCTGGACCAAATTGTTACATACGATTTAAGTGTTGTTAGATCAACAGAACGTCATTGTCTGATTTCAAAATTCACTTTTGATTCTGCTTTAGTCAGTGTTTCGTTACCCATCTTGAGTTTATCCGCTTCAGAATGATGCACCACAAACAGTGCGTCTAAACTCCACATAATGTGGGGCGGGAGGTTTTCGGTTGAGTACTACAGAGCACTTAGTTTCCCTTGGAAATCCGAATAATAATATAAACAGAAGAAAACCCCAGTGTTTCCCCTCTACATCCTGGCCATTACTGGGTACTGTAATTTAGCCCAATGACCAGGAGAGATCCTGAAACTGCCCAAGTCCAAAGCTAACTATCCACAGCTTGAAAGACACCTTCGAATTCATCGAGTCCTTGGACATGACTGATATATCTCCCTGTAGTCTGATCCCTTGATGTATATTTGCTATCCACTAATGTGGGGCGAGACGGCTAAAGTGGTTAGAGCGCGAATTTACTGACCGGAAGGTCTGTGGTTCGAACCCGACCTCTGCCTCTCGACTTCTAGGCTTGGGTAACCTGGCAGTATCCCAGCCCTCCGTCTTCCTTCGGGTGGCATGGCAGCTAGGCACCGAAAGTGCGCTACAGCTGAACGATTATTATTTTTTATATTATTATCCATTAATGTTGCGCCTGGAGAAACTATCTGCTTTATGCGTTGTTGCACCGTTTCCGGCCCCAAAATACCTCATTCCAACTTCGAGGCTCAGAAGAGCAATAGGTTGACGGCCTTTCGATGGATAATTCACTGAGTTCAACGTTAACCAACTTGGTCATTAGGCAACCGGATGGAACGGGGAACTGCTCAGTCTGTCGTGAACATACTCGGTGTTGCGGTGTGCAACTCTCTCGTAAGCCTTTGGCTCGCCGTTCCGCTCCGTCCTAGGGTATATCAAAAGTCGCGGTAGTTTAAGACAGCCTTTAATAGAGACAAAGGAGGATTGTTGCAACAGCATTTCTCACGAGCCTGATTCGTTGTGATGGAGCAAGAAGCGCTGAGCTAAAAATGCTCGACTCTGCATGGCTCATGTTCTAGTCACTCAGAGCATGTCTTTCGGTCCAGTTCGCGACGAATCCGTACAATGGACGCGATAGTCGGTTATTTTGAGCGGCTCGTCTCCGTACAACCGAAAAGGACGGGATCAAAGTTTTCTAACTTCTCTCCAGTAAAATAGGTCGTTTGATTGCCGGATGCCTCTGAGCATGAACTTCAGATCCTCAGTAAGACAGGAAAAAACGGATAACCACCCTGAGAGGTTTGTTTCACAATATGATAAGTCCCCAGTTGCGGTAAGGTCAACAGCGGAAGGAATACACAGTTTTCCTCCGTAATAAGGGAGTGTCGTAAGGCTTATCCAAAAGCGCCGCACTCAAATGAGGAAATCGCGCTTCGCAACTCAGTCTGCTGTTGCCGAGGGGCTGATCTAAATTCCTCAAGAAGCGCTATCAGTATCAGATTATTTCTGTTCATCCATCTATAGTTTGTCGTGGGAGAACTTGGGATTTCCAATATAAATCTGTATTTAAGTTTTCGCACGTAAACGGTTGGTGAGAGTGTGCAAAACGGTACCATCCTGCCGAAGCCGTCTTCGGTTATCGTTATTCACATTCGTGAAGTGAACCAAGTGTTTTACAACGATCTAAGATGACAAAGTGGCTCTGTGATCATACGTCTAAGGTGGTTAATCATGGTATTTTCTGCTGCTTGTACACCTTTTCTGTGGCCAATCTATCTGCATAAGTTGGAATTGAGAACCTAATGGTGCTTACCATAACAATGTGTTTAGTCGTCAGCGTGCCAACTTTCTTCACCTTGTTTATGAGACTGCCAAGAAACGGAAGAAATCCAGGGTGGTCTCCATAACGTGACAAATGTTCCTGACATATCCAGTTTAAGTCTGATTGTGGCTTCCGTTAGAGCCTTGGGTAAGAGCTTGTTTTTTGTTGATAGACCAACTTATTGGCATCTGGACGAATAGTGCAGTCTATGGACTCGGGGAGCCGATAANGTTCTCATATATATATATATATATATATATATATATATATATATATCGCTGATTTTGCGACCAGTTTGTCCTCACAACACCACCGCAAACGATTGTCTTTGACGCGGATCTTTCCAGCTCAGCGTTCTGCAGCTGTTTCCAAACACCCTTATGATTACTTTCACCAGGACTACCCCTGGGCTGTCTCTTGTCGCATCTAAACACTTGTTTGAAGTTCCGATTCTCGGATCAGAAGATGGATGCGTTACTCCAAACGCTTTTCTGCCGTTCATATATGTTTTGTTTATAAATCAGTTAACATTTGCAAGTAGGAATTCTCTCAGTTCGTTGCCACTCGTTAACTACTTTTTCTTTCTTGGCTATCCGCCCGCTGCTGCCGGCAGACATTTCTGAATGGTTGTTGTCTAAGCCAGGCGAGTTGAATCGGTGGAGTTTATGGTATGGAATCCGAGTCAGTCCACCTGTAGTTTTTTTTTGCCACTCGATCTTAACAACTGTCCTTGTGCAATCCAGTTGTGTAACTAATTTGTGAAAAACTGCACCACGCATCTGCTTCGATCGAAATGTGACGGTGCTAGTGCCCTGAAGAACCCTTATGGTCTTTACACATTGCAGTCACAGTGGACAATAGGACTTTGTCTTCAGACTGTGTCGTAATACGACTCACCGACCTTTCTGGTGTGGTTGAATCCCCTGGACTTAAGATGCTACTCAGTATAACATTCAGGCAATGTGGTACACAATCCCCACCACGTTGTCGACTGGATGATTGAAACAACATCATCAGCTAATGATATAACCCTTCTGTGATTTATCGATGAAACAACACTAAATCTATTGGCGAATTATATTTGTTCGTTGGAATTCGTAAACCATACTGAGCTTCTGGACTTTTACGGTCCGGCGACATCACGTATCCAACTTTTGACGTTCAACCTAAGTATGCAGTTTGATTGTACCGGCCTATAGCTATTCGCTGTTTTCTTGTTTTATGCATGCAGAGTTACTTCCATCGCGGATCAACTGAACGTCGATTTTGCTCTGATCCATAAGGAACGGAAACGCGCCAATGAGGTTGACCGAATGGTCTTGGTTGGGGATGTGAATAAACGTGTAGCCATTTTGGTGGACGATATGGCGGACACTTGTGGCACTATCTGTACTGCTGCTGACAAGTAAGTATGAATAGGTGTATCGTAAAGAGATATTCTGTTAGGCCTACATCAGCAATAGAGGTTGTTTTCTGTTACCGTCGTTGCACAGACCTAGCTGAATGATGGCCAGCTATTGCTAGCCCTATGTGTATGCCCAGGATGCGTCACCTTAGTAGTGCGGGCCACAAAATGATCCTTTGCGTACATTGTGGGATGAATTTAGAACTGCACCCTCCGGTCTCATTTCCTCGGGTTTACACCGGACATTCAAGTGGATTCACATGCTATTCAGCGCAAGCCGTATGTGGTATTCAGTGTGTGCGGACGTCCGTCGGCGCAGTTCGATGGAACAGGCCGACCCGGAACTGGATGCCAGCCTACCGCCGTAGGAGGATGATTTCACTAGCTTGTAGTGTATGCAGGAGGCGTCAGCGTTTTTTATATACTTTTCTGAACAGTTTTCCCCCTGTAGACGACTATCCGCAGCAGAGATCATATTTACTCGGTCATTTTCGACGCTTATCATTCCCAAAGTATACGAGTTTGTTCATCCCATTCAAATCTTTCCCAGATGGATCATCCACCGCTGATGTTTGACTGAACTTTGTATCTAATTCTCATTGAATCAGTCCACCTCTAATGCTCGCGCAGCTCAAGCTTCTCTGATCATAACCAACAGAGTTCCAGTTTTACTGCAAGCTTGTCTCCCATACCCTTTCTTGGACCAATAGTCTGCGTTTGTGATTTGTGGCATGCTCGAAATTTCAGCTGGCATGTTTTATTTCCATCATCTTGTAATAAAAATAGCCATTCAATACTGACGCTTGTATTTATAGGACCATATAACTTTAGTTGGGTGAGTAAATCTCGCATGTGGCTAGATCAGGTAGGGAACAATGGATTTTCTTTATTGAGGCCATACTTAGCGAGTTGGTGAGCAACTGTGTCCGTTCCGTGCACTCCAGTTCGAACCGTATCCTTAGTGACGACAAATCCAATAAGCTACGTTGTTAAGGCTGTTGCGAAGTTTTTTCACTTAATGAACTTTATGTTTGGTTTCTGGTCAAACCGATGACAAACGACATTTTATGGTTGCTCTGTACATGAGCTGTCCACCACTTATAGTCGCTCAGCTGTAACAGCCTTCCGGTGCCTAGCTGCTATGCCACCTGAAAGAAGCACGAGGGCTAGGATACTGCCAGGTTGCCTAAGCCTAGACAGGGGAAATCGAGAGGCAGAGGTCGGGTTCGAACCACGGACCTTCCGGTCAGTAAATTCGCGCTCTAACCACTTGAGCCGTCTCGTCCGAGTGAATATAATAGAATCGACCACTTTACATACAAGTTCGAAATTCACACCAGGCTCCAACGCGGTGTCGCCAGCCTCGTGTACATGATATACATGATTTATTTGGATTTTACGTGGTTTAGTGCATGAATCGCACTCCTTGAAGAATCTGACTACCAGTGATTATTTGTCTGGTCATCCTCAACTTTCCGTGGTCTTCAGGGAGGATTTGATACTTGACGAGTTGTGAGTCCTACTCCCTTTACTCGGAAAGCCTGTGACTGCCCCACTTTCAGGTGTTCCATGAAAATCACGCAGTCAGATTCCTGACAGGCTAAACGGAGCAAAATCAAACTAATTCTGTTCATATTACGTAAGCACTATTCAAGTGGTGTTTGACTTTCAATCAACTCGTTGATGGTTTCGTGTGACTTTTTGCGGTGGCAAACCTGGCCGTTTTTAATAGCTGGACGTGAAAAAAAATATCCGTGTACCAGGTTTCACGACAACGCATCTGAGGTCATTCCATCTCTAAGGAAGGATTGCGTAATTCTGTTTTTCTAAATAGCTAAGCCCACCGCACTGTTACAGAAAGGAACATCAAAATACCATATGGCGTATCAAAATAGATTGCGCTAACAGTGATAAGGAGCTCGATAGGTTTGTTCCAGTGAACTGGAGGAAATTTGAAGGTGGCCTTGTAGATCCGAAATAAGTGTATATCGCTACAGTCTATACGAACTCCTTCGAAAAGGAACCACTCCCCCGGAGGACGCGCACCGTAGTGTATTCCCCCCTCGAGCCGGAGACAGCTCAGTGGTTAGGGTGCGGAATTACTGGCCGGAAAGTCTTTGTTTCAAACTCAGCATCAGTATCTCGACTGCTCTAGTCCAGGTTTGGGAAACCTGATAGTATCTCGGCCCTTCCTTCAGGCGACATGGCATGACAGCTATACATCGAAAGGGTCCAGATGAATATTCACCGATAGTCAGATTCCCCAAGGCTTCCGGTTCATGAGCTAAAAGAATCAAAATCCAACTGAATCATGTATGTTGTGTTCACGAGTGAGGCTGGTTACACAGTGTTGGGGCTGGGTGTGAATTTCGACCTTGTTTATCAGGTGATCGATGTTTCTAAATCTTAGTGCAATCTGAATGATTATTTCTATTAGTTATTGTTGTTATGATTACAGGTCTCCGAAAGTGATTTTTACCCCTATGAGAGGCCAAAACTCTTTTTCACTTAGTTTCCTGTGCTCTGTAGGAAGGGTACCTTGTTCTCGCTTCTCGTTTTTGTGAGCCAATTTACAGACTTTAAATAGTATGCTCGCGGTGGATTGTTTCACACACCCGCGTACGAAAACTCCAATTCCTAAGAAAGGGTGACTGGCAAATCTTACATGCGCCAATCTTTCACTTTGACTGAGCTATTGCATTTGTGAGCATTTAGCCGTTGAACAAGCTTCAAATGATTGACTCCTCGTTGCTGTGGCGTTTGACAGTAGCTGAGCCTCTGCATATAGAGAAACTAGGTAGTGTGAACATTGATGAAGACTGATGTGACCGGTAGACCATCTGATGGAACAGATTCGTATTTCTAGTGACTTTTAACTCTCCAGAATCAACTGACAACCTTTGTAACTGTGCGCCTCAATATTTCTAACCGATCCATCTTGGAACGCAGATTAATCGAAGCTGGAGCGTCTCGAGTATACGCCATTTGCACACATGGAATTTTCTCTGGTCCAGCACTGGAACGGATCAACAAGTCATCATTTGAGGCGGTGGTGGTAACCAATACGCTAAGTCAGGATGAAAACATGAGCAAAGCACCGAAAATCCAGGTTGGTTTCCCCGATTGTTGGTTCACTTCTCTGTTGTGTTGTTCGCTGACTCAGTCAGAAGATTTCTGCGAGGACTACTATGGTTGCAGTAATTCACTAAAAACGGGCTAATGCAGTGAATGGCCAGTGTAAGCTGAGCTAGTTGTTTTTTGTACCCGAACCGGTATCGTACTTCCCTTGTGTCCTATTTATCAGCTACCGTATGCCATCTTCATGCTCCGCCCCTTACCGTGTGCTTTAAATGTTACTGCTGCTGGTCATCTTTTATCAGATTTTTTGTTACAATACATTTTGTTGGAGTACCACAGCATAAAATGGCAGCTAAAACCTAAACAAAGACACTTGAATTTATATTCCGGCCATGATGAAGTGGACACTGGCCGTGACAATCGCAACACGATGAATCTGTTGGCAATGCGTTCTGGCAGGCTGGTAGAGTTTTTGGTGAGCGTCAATTACCAAGTGCTTAGCAATAAATTGAATCACCATGCTTCGAACTCCATCCATCATAGTAGTGGAGAAAAATAACATCTTTATTACTGGTACTACGTTTTTAGATCAGTGCAAGATCAAAGGTTTCTCCATAGGTGTCTTGTCCATCATACTGTTCCTTCTTTCATGCGTGAGCTCTAACACGTTTTAAACTCAGTGATATATCCCTCGGATTGTCCACCGGTCAGTGCTCCCGTGTATATCACTTTTTATACACATAGGCCACATGAAGAAAAGCGATTTCCAGTAGTGGACCATGGCCCTCTAGCCTGAAGTGGCAAATGCCTTATGCGGGTCTTTGACACCACATCTGTTCTGGTAACAGAAATTCTCCTTCCAGTCTCCTGCTTGTTTACAACTGGTTGACAATAAGTTGGATTTAGAAAACCCTAAAATGCTCACTTCGCGCCTTGTCCGTCTTTTTTCTTCAAGTTACTCTGGTATTTGGAATTCCGTTAAACGCCTGATTTCGTCCCGACCCATCGGGATAAATATTTCATATCCTCTTCAGTCTTCATACTGGTAGTTACGCAATAGTAAATAGGGTTTTCCGCAGTAGCAATACATGTAATACTAATAATGGTGGAATAGAATTAGACGTTTGATTTCCTTCTGATGTTGTGGTGCATTGTTTCCTGGTCTAGTGTCTCCACGGATAGGGGTCTTTTTACGTCTGCTACACGCAACTAATTGGAGCGATTTGGGGTCTGGGTAGCTGTATCATCTCTATTCCATTTTCTATTGACCAGTGGTGTTTCGTCTTGCCCCCCCTGATGGGATATAGAAGATGTTTTTAACTTTTTAATTTGTGGCCGTTTGTCCTGACACATTTATCTCGATCTTATTCCTTCAGTGCATCGATATAAGCGTTATGCTGGCCGAAGCCATCCGCCGAACGCATAATGGTGAATCTGTCTCCTATCTCTTCAATCATGTTCCGCTTTGAAGCTACAAAAGATGAGCCCATCATTGTTTGGCTTTTTGTGTCCTCGTGTACCAGTTTTTATTATCCTCTGTGGCCGATCTCCCCGCTATTGGCGCACCTCGTTTTGCTGCAAATATTGTCCATCTCCATTGCGTTTCTCCTTTTCCCAGTTGACGAGCAAGTTCTCATCTCAGATAACACGTATATTTTTCACCACTGTCATATGTGCTTGCACGTCCATTTGTGCGTATTATGTACAGTTGCATTTTCTAGTCCTGCGCGCACTCTAGTTGGATCGAAAAAGGACTACAGGAATACGCACGCAGACTTCACTTTCGGAATCAAAATATAGTTCTAGAGCTTTGCAAAACTTGTGTTTTTCAAGTTCGCTTGTTTTTCGCTGAACCTCGCTGTGACACGTCTGTTAGTTCTTCTGTTGCATCACATGACAATACGGCACTCTGTATATCAAGTCACCCTCTCTCTCTAATACGACTGCGGAGCTGACCCTCCCCCCAAACAGACAATGTTCCCGCAGAGTGGGTTCTTGCAATAAGAGTGAAATGGTGCTGTTTCAGAATTACTCTCAACGCGAGAAGTAGGCTATTCCCCAAGAGAGGCGGTACCAAGCATGTCTGTATTAGCCAGCCTTAGTGGAAAACTATTCGCTCCGAACGTGACAGCTTCTTGCTGGTTCCAGTCGGTAAATTCGAATCTGTGCACTGCAGCATTCTAGTCCTACCATGAGAATTCCGCTGCATGCAGTGCTAATCACCGATCACCTTGTTCCCATACCTTCATCCATCCATTTGGATTTGAAATTTACATTGTCTTCGAATATTTAAAGTACTACTCACATCAGCATGGGTTGAGGTCGTTGCTCTGCTGTGCTTACTTATGGGCCATCACATAAGATAATTGAGTGCATTTCTACCATTTTTATTTCTACCCCAACTAAGCGAGGGGAGACAGAAGCGGCTTTTTCTTATAAATGGAACGCTTAGAGTCATCGCATGAAACTAAAATAGAACAACTATCTCCGTAGATAACAGCATTAGGATCGATAAGATTCACATGCGCATCTGCGTGAAAAAGACTCGGTAATTTCTAACACCGGAAACAAAAAAGTACATGTAAAGGTGAACCAACATCTGAGAATAAAGGTCACGAATTCTCAACCTAGATAAGACGTTGAAAGAAACATCTCAATGACCTGACGGGGATTTTGAAAGCGGAAGTTTGGGAAACAAACTAACACACAATCCGCTTCTGAACTTACTCGTATTCGGTTCTACCAGCTGGACGAATCGGTTTCAAAATTCAGTAGTTAAGCGTCCACACAAAAGACAGTTAAAGTTTCTTTTTCCCAATCGTAGTGTTTGGACTCCTGGCTTCGGATATTAGGAATCATGTCATTTGCTTGTGTGGCTTTTCTAATCACTCACTCGTTTTAATAGCGGTGTGTTATACTCAAGTGCATTTTTAATCATCATTGATAACACTACACTAGTAAATAAGGCTGGCGCGCAACAGTAATACAACGAGAATGTCCCAGTGATGAGTCGATGGAAGGCCGATAAGTGGGGTACAAGTTTGAAAACGCTGATTTCCATGGGGAACTGAATGAAGGGCATGATGCTCGCGACTTCAATCCGTATTGCAAGAGACATGATGTCGAGATAGGAGGCGATCAATGGGGTTAATCTAGCATCCTTTACGAATATCAGCTAGCACGACTCCAGCAGTCAAGATTTAGCTGAACAATGGCTAGGAATTGGCAGCATGCTCATGATTTTGGGTTCTCAACCGCTCGTAAGGAAAATCACTCCAGCCAGGAAGGTGCAGCTCTCTCACTCGGTGCGACAGTGGCGGCCTCCGTTTCGAGTTGCTATAATACGGCCTATCCTCCACGAGCATTTCATTAGCAAGGTTTCAGAAACGAAAATATTGTTCTTAACACTTGCTGAGCCACCCTAACAAACGAAACCCCTGAGCCGACACCTAACACTGATCTAGTTTGACTTAGCCAATCGGTTCTCTTTACGTTTTAAATCTCGACCAACGTCGCAACCTAGTCACTTGGCCTGACAAAGCTTCTGTGTCAAGAGCGAAACGTGACCTAGTAACAAACCCAAACTTTTCGAACATTCTGGTCATTTTGGTTGTTTGCAAGCTCACGCAGCATTTCATCAGACAGGCTGATATAATTTTGCTGTGAAGACACTACTGCTCAAATGTTTGAAGATAGTATGTATTGCCTTAGTTCAGAGCAGAATCCATTTCTGTGTGCGACCAAAATCTGCTTAAGTTACAATTCATAGAGAGAGACCAAAAAAGTTTGTGTTGCAAAATAACGACAAATGATCCTGAGACGAAAGCTTACCCTATTTTTGTGGTGATTCCGAGCTGTTCGCCGCGGCAGATATCGATTTTAGATTAAAGCGTCCATTTTGCTAAGATCAAGTCGGGTGTGACTAGTGTGCTTTGAAAAAATGAGGTCATGCACCAAACATCAAACTCTGTTTGAGCCAGCGAGTAGAGTTTACTCTGGAGCAACCGAAAAGTATGTGTAGAACTTGATTTATTGAGTATGAGTTGCCCCGCACATCAAGGGGCGAAATTCAGCTGGAAACTACCGAATAGTTTAGAAAAATACCTACTAGAAACTAACGTTTCTGTGCAAGCTTTCTACGACTTGGATCCTATACCACTATACCCTCCCCCACGAGAGACCAAAAACCCCTTTCACCTTGATTGACTTGCTTCAGTGTGATTACTTTATTATTTTTTTTTTGCATGTGTGCGTTCTTTTAGTACTCCGAACGTGCTAAACTTTCAAAATCCGGCAATCACTCAAGTTGCATTCCCAAAAACTAGTTGGAAATCATCTTAATATTTCGCGACATGCGCTGAGTCCTAGTTTGAAATTATTAGAAATGTTAGATGAAAAAATCGACCCTTAGCGGGTTTGTGTAGGAGTAGCTCTTCTGACACTTCCTCCACTGTGTCCACTGAATTCAGCACTTGCAAAACACTAGACAGCCGGTGCACTTCTAACATCGTGGTTTGCATAGGTCCCCCATATGGTGGTTCGAAGCGGGAGGACGTAATTGGCAATGATATCTCCAAGCTAGCGTCTGAGGCTGTCTACAGTACCTCGAGAATTGATGTGCGTGCCAACGAGGATGTTTCAATGCGGTGCAAATATACTGAGCCAATCTGTCCGAAGCAATTCTGTCTTTAACCGTAACCTGCCTCCTTTCGTTGCCGAATATTTCTTCACCCTTTAAGTTGACATTCTGTAGCTAACACTCCGAGGCTTTGACCACTAAACGTATTAGACTGGATCTGTTTACCAAAAGGGACCTGACTGTGTCGTGGCATGGTGTCTGCCGTGGTCCATGTAACTACGGTTGGCCATAAATTCATTACTCGCTGTAATATTGAACTTTCGGTTTGGATTTATACGTTGGTTCACTCGTTGCGATTGAAAAGAAAATTCGAATTTGTACCGTTTCGCATAATTTGTCACTTGTCACCGCTATTGTACTTCTCCGATGAGCAGTTAAGTTTACTTACTCCAGGTTAGTTACAATCATTTCGGCTGCGTAGCAGTCTTTCTGACGAAAATAACACTCACATGCAACGGCCCAAATGGGCGATCCTTCTGAGAATGACTTGTGTTTATTGGCCGTACAAGGGACTGTCATACACACATTAGATGTCGATATTAGCCCATTCAAACACTGGAAGTCTTTCACAAGACTCGGAAGATATAGACAGGGCCATCACAATGACCCTTTTATACCAATAAAGCAAAGCAATATCCCAATAGAATAATCGGCCATAGCGTGAGAAACGCTACCGCTTTAGAAATCGCTTCAAGAGGCACCATTAATCTGCATTAGACAACTGATCACGGAATGAAAGGAACGTACGCACGTGTTCCCTTACTCTCACCCCACTATAGGGCGGCCGCTTATGCGCTAGAGTAGCAATACTGGAACAATAGCCCGTTCATTTGGTTTAGCGCTCCCACAGGTCCTTAGATGCACAGGTATAAACACATGAAGCATAACGGCAGCATCCACCCACACGTGTATAAAAGTGCTCGTAACCTTTCAAATAAACGATAGTATTCAGTGCACAACAGCTCCATCAAATCTATACCTTCCTAATAGTCAACAAGAGACATCTGAATGTTTGTGTTTGCCCTTTGCTAGTCCTTCCTGATTGGAGAACTACTGCGAACAGTGTAGCGGAATAGTGTAACTAGAATACGTCCAGTTGTAGTAGGTATTTGGGTAGTGTCAGGAGATTTGTTTCTTTGTTTGTGTGGAGATTCCGTCCCATAATTGAAGCCCATCTATGCTGAAAAAGCCGAGAAGCACTGTACAGCTGTTTCATCCTTGTCGGGAATCATCAGCAGTGTGCACTGCTGATAGATTGTAATAGGTAAGTTCACCGGGCTTGGCAACTGACTTTTTCATAGAATCGAGAAGTAAAACACGTAGCCCATCTATCTGAAAAAGCCGAGAAGCACTGTACAGCTGTTTCATCCTTGTCGGGAATCATCAGCAGTGTGCACTGCTGATAGATTGTAATAGGTAAGTTCACCGGGCTTGGCAACTGACTTTTTCATAGAATCGAGAAGTAAAACACGTAATCTCAGCTAGGTTAAAAATGGTTAAATGGTTAAAAGGGACCGTTCAGTTTTCAGTTGAGGCGACAGAAGTTCTTCATATGATATCCTGGAAACTTTCTGAATGACCTCGTGAGCTTCGTCAATATGGACACAATAAGATCAGATTCTTAGGGATTTGTCTCCAGTTTCAGGAAGTTCATAACTACCCAGATTATTCCTCCCAACCACAACAAAATTGCTTATGTTGGTCACTGTTGGGAGAGGGTCATACGTCCCGAGAACATCCAGAATGTTGGTTGTTCATTGATGGCTTATAAAACAGTTTGATTCCGAGTCAAATCTTACTGGACGGGATGGAACTAATCTTAATAACCAGGTAGCTCTCTTGGACCAGCTTATCAGGAGGACTGCTCTGTTGGGTATCACGGGTGTTGGCATCTCATTCAATTTACCTGGTAAGCTTTCATTAGACTCATCATGTGTCCATCAGGGAGTAAGACAAACGAGCGAAATATAGAGTTACTATCACGTAATGGGGATTTAAGGCTGCATAAGTATCAGAGATCGCGGCGGCACATGTTTGGTCTTTCCATTCCGTATTAGCTTACAGATATGCAGCTTGGTCTATAGTTGCGGCCTCCAGTTCACACTCGATTCCTGAGTTTTCGAAAAGCCACCCCAGCCCTGTAAACGGGATCTTACCAGTTTCTACGGAATGAACA